CCCTCCCGGGGGTGGAGGGGGACCCTCCCGGGGGTGGGGCGGACCCTGGGACCCTCCCCTTCCCCCTCCTGAGCCAGCTCCCCACAGGCTCCTGGGCTGCTCACCCCCTGAAGCAAGGCTGACTGGGGCAATGGCGCCGGGTCTTCCCACCGATGCTGGGCTCTTGGTGACGCCCAGAGAGGCTCCAAGGAGATTGCTCCCATTTCCTTAACTGCCCCATACCTGTGGGGCCACACCTGTGTGGTCTCGGTCTCCCTGTTGACTTCCCAGGACACATTGCTTCCATCGGCTGCCAGGCTGTAGTCTCTGAGTCTTCCCTCCACGGAGCTGTTTGCTCACGGCTCAGGTGGCTTCCCTGAAAGGCCAGCACATGCCTGCTGTGCGGTCCGTGCTTATGGTCCTGGAATTACCCCTTTCCTCTCCCCTACCTTTGGGAGGCTTTCCCTCCAGTGCCTGCTCCACCTGGGCAGGGCCTCCTGACAGGCAGCGCCTCCTCCCCACGCTGGTCCTACTCTTCCAGGGCTGGCTCAGGGCCTCTCCCTTCACCAGCGCCCCCCACCCCACTTACTGCCCCACACTTCTACAAGCCCTGCTTTCCTTGCACACCATTTGCTGTCCGAGCGCCCACAGAACCGGGCCGTGTCTAACGTTCCCCTCTGCGCACACAGGGATCCTTCTAAAACTGGTCTCCTCAATTAGAAGCTTTCCTTGGCCCCGGGGGAACGGACGATACACTCTACTTCACCAGCTCTGCGGAGGGGCGCCCTGCTTGCCTTCGGGCCCAGATCGCTGTCCCCGCCCCCTGAGGGCCTCCCATGGGTGCCCCCAGCAGCCCTGGTGGTCCCCAAAAAGGCCCCCCTTCCTACTGCTCTCTGTGCACGGCCTACCTCCAACCCCAGCTCACCCCCACTCCCTGCCACTCCTGACTTACACATTGAAGCACGGACTGAAGGTCGCCTTCTAAGTGGCACCAGTCACTGAGCACACTTTCTCCCCAAAGGCCTTTCCCTTCCATGCGCTCATGGCCCTCCCTGCACCCCAAAGGCCTCTCCCTTCCCACCTTCCCTGCACCCTAAAGGCCTCTCCCTTCCCTGCGCATTCCCTGCCCTCCCCCCAAAGGCCTCTCCCTTCCCCGCAAGCTCCCTGCCCTCCCCCCACCCCAAAGGCCTCTCCCTTCCTGCGCCCTCCCTGCCCTCCCCGCAAAGGCCTCTCCATTCCCTGAGCCCTCATTGCCCTCCCTGCACCCCAAATGCCTCTCCCTTCTCTGCGCACTCCCTGCCCTCCTCCTCAAAGGCCTGTCCCTTCTCTGCACCCTCACTGCCCTCCCCCCAAAGGCCTGTCCCTTCCCCACGCCCTCACTGCCCTCCCCGCCCCCAACCTGCACCCTCACTTTGCCCAGAGCTCAGGCCCCCTGCTGGGAAATCCTTTGCATATCGGGTGACCCATCCTCACAGGGTGAGCCCTGAAGGTGGGTTTGCCCAGGATCCAAGGAGCCAAACATTTTGGGAAACACACTGCAGCCTAAACATTTGGCCTGTGAATCAGTGGATTCATTCAAGAGGAGGCACCACCCCCTCTCTCTGGTTTCTCCCTTCATCCTGTCCTGTCCTGTCCTTGGGTCACTTTCTGAGGAGAGCACTGGGGAGATGAGAATGTTGGGGTAACTCCGTGTTCCTGGGCAGAATTCCTCAACTCCTTCGCTCAGGCATGCCAGATGCTGGGGTTGCATAATTTTTCTGGCACAGAGGCTGTTTCCGTCTGCCCGTCCCTGCCAGAGCCTCCTATCGGGTAGTGGGAGGACCAGGATATGCAGAGGCCTCAGTGTGGGGAAGGGGGTTTAGGCAGCATGCCCTGGCCTCCTGGACCTGCCGCCCCTCCCCCATGATTGTCCCCAGAACTTGAAACTGCAGCACCAATAATGGCCATGTGTATTGTTCTCGAAAGAAGTTACTGTGTTTGTCAAAAGAA